ATATTCGATACAAATTTGTCCTCGGATCTAGTTAGAAGCAGGTCCAGGGTATGGCCCTTCTTGTGAGTAGCGGTACGCACATGGTTTTTGTAGTCAAATGATGTGATAAGATCAAGGAACTTCTTAGCTGAAACATTATTTTCATCATTCACATGAAAATTGAAATCCCCTGCGATGAGGACATTTCCACTACCACGGTCAGGTACAAGTTCTTCAAGTAGAGTTGAGAATTCGCTGAAAAAGATGGATTCATTTAAGTTATTTCCTTTTGACCGTGGAGGCCGATATAAAACAATTATTCGTATAGACTTTGATACTGATTTCACGGTTAAATCCATATGCTCAAACGATTGAAACTTCAGATTCTTGTTATTGTGCTTTAGATGCAAAGACTTTCTATAGACAACAGCAACTCCACCGCCACGTGTTTCTCTCGGGACATGTAGAAATGCATAACCATCGGGCACAATCTCGTTTATTTCCATTTCGTCGATGTTCCCGGGAGAAAGCCAGGTTTCTGTTAAAGCCATGATATCTACTTTGCGGTCAACAACGTAATCATGCACGAGTGATGCTTTGTTTTTAAGTGATCTTGTATTTAATAAGCTGAAATGCATCGCTGAACTTGGTTTGAAAGACGGAACCATAGGTGTACGTGCAATTGTAATCAAATTGTTCTGCTTGGGTCGTTTATAATACATGTTCATATTCCTGGGCCGTGCTGTAATTCTTGTTGGAATGGGGAGGTATTGTTCACTGTTCCATTGCTCATTAGTATTCAAAGTCGACCATGTATGAGCAAAACCTGAAATAAAGTCTTGAAAATTGCGATGTGGAAGACTGCAATAATCCTCCAATAAAGTATGTTGTTGACCACCAATCCTAGTTGTCGGTGTGACAAGGTTTCTGCGTAGATTATTAAACCTATATTGGTCATGACTTACATTTGTGAGAAAAGAATCATAGTCGTTCCAATGGGTTACGATCTCAGGGTTTGAAGTAAGACCAGAAATGCCATTACTGAGAAGTTGAGTTTGATCCAGAACTTGTGTTCTTGTTTTTCTTYGCGTGATTCTTGTATCCTCTGGTCCTGGCTGTGGATGCACATCRCCACAGAGACTAAAATATGCTTCCAAGATAACACTGGAGTCAAACGGTAGAACAACTAAAGTGGCTCCCCGTGAAGAATATTTGACGACAGCGACACTGAGCGAAGTTGAACAGCGACAATTTAAAACTAGACGTKGTGTAARTGGYAGAAATGAAATGCCACAAGAACTGTTTGCTATCAATAAAACGAAAAACGCCAAAAGTCGGAGCACACTAAAACCATGACCAGCCGCCATGTATGCATGTTCGATTTTCGATAAATAGTGAAAATGGGGCCAGTAAACATTTCCCTTTGGGAGGTTTTGTTATTTCTTTTGTATCTTCCTTTCAATTGTTTCAGGTTAATTTTGAAGGGGTCAAAGTGGTTTGTGTTTTGACGCGTATGAAATGTTTGAATGACTTTGAGCCCGCATTCCTTTTGGTCTACCTCTAAGAAACGAAACCTCTTATTGGCTATAGAGCGTTTTCACTCATGTGAGAAGGCAGCCATAAACAATAGAAACTTTCTGCACAGTATTTGCATAAAAATAGAGTTCAATTCCCGGAGGATAGAAAATGTATTGTTTTGGTACCCCATAACGGCCGCTGTGACGTCACGTGAAAACGCTCTATGAATACAATGATAGCCAATCAATCAGTAAAGCAGAAAAGAGTTTCCATACTTCTTATATTTGATTTCCCTAGACTTCTCGTGTTATCAATAATGATAGGTTATGCTAAAGGTATTTATTAATGTAATTATATTTTGTTTTTCAACACTAGTCACTCCGGGCACCTCTTATTCGGCCTTTGGACGAGGATATCAAAGGTTAGAAAGATTGAAAGTATTATCACCACCATATTCATCACCATCATCATGACCACCACAATCACCATAATTACCATCACCACCACCACTACCACTACCACCATCATCATAATCATGCATCATCATCATTACCACTACCGGTATTATATCACCATATTTACTATCAACACAATTACTGCCACAAACATCATCATCAACATTACCACCACCACCATCATCGTCTCACCATCATCGTCTCACCATCATCATCACCATCATCATCATCACCACCACCATCACCACAATCGCCAGAGCAATCCTCAAAAAGGTTCAGCATCCAACCCGGCAAATATGGGTCTAGCCTTGTGGCCAAATTAATACTAGTCATTTTACATGGGAAGGGACTTGTCCGTGGAATGTGTCTCGTTTGCCATAAATTTCGAATGACTTTTTTATGTTTGTTTTCTTTGCAGATGATCAAAGTGAAGCTTCGTCGCAGCTTTTTCACGGAGAAGAATCTCTACAAAGGTAAAGTTTGTCGTTCTATCCTACGTTGTCTTTTGATTCTTATTACAAATAGGTATTAAAAGATCAACTATAGAGCAGGCGCGTGTTACGTCATTGCCGCCATCTTGGTTGACGATAGCAAAGCATTCTTTATGAGCTTCTCTTGTTAGATCAACCAAGATGGCGGCTGTTTCATTGTTATTCATATCTCAAGGGATTTTGGCGCGCTATCTCATAGAAGATGTAACAACCCATTCTAAAGTATTTTGGCTCTTTTTAAACTAAAATTCTACGTAAAGTAAAAGCTCTTTTTTCATCGATAAAAATAAAGATAAGGAACAAAAAAAAAAAATACATTAAAAAAAAAGGGAAAAAGAAAAATGAAAAAGATAGGAAATGAAAAGAACAAAGAAATTAATAGAAAAAATAAGAGAATGAATTAAAAATGGCATTTCAAAAAAACTTCAAGTTTTATCCGTGAAATCTTATGCAAACCATGAAGTAATCTTCACATATCAAATTGGAATTTAGCGTGTAGCGTTTGGTTAAGGGAGGAAAACCTTTGAGTATCCCCACCTACCTATGCGCAGACATCCCTAGTATTAATCAATATTAATTATTTTTATTGTTCTAGAGCTTATCACCACCTCCAGCGACTAAAACGCCTTGTTGGAAGCGAAGACGATCAATCATCGGTTGATTCTGAAATATAATTCACTTTATTATACCAATGTATTACGAATGGAAGAGAGATAATCTGATTACAACTTCAATAAGATCTATTCGATTTATCTGATGCGATTTGGTTTTTGTTTACTTACTCAGAGATACTTTCCATCTTATCGCTTTTGCTGTTCTACCTTAAGTGCATGACTTCTGAAAGTAGGTCTAAGTATAGTTGGTACCTAACGTGGGTAGTTTAGTAGGTTTTTGCCGATATGTATACATCTTTTTCAAAAAACGTTGGTCGGAAATCTGAAACTGAGTAGCACGCTGCAAATTGAAATACGTTCACAATCAAACAACGTACTTTCCTTTTAGATCTGAGTATGAAGCATGAACTTTTGAGTTGGAAATGTGATTTTTCGTATTTTAGCCAGAAAACATAAATTAGTACAAAAATTCAGTTTAGCCTCAGATCGCCCATTTCAGGTCTCCTACGTTTCTTAAAAATAGGAGTATTCCTATGCTCTTGCATTTGCCGACTTCTTTCCGATACAGACACAAGACCGATACAATCTCACCCCCTACCTACATAAAACTCGTCACAAAACTGATATCCCTCTCATTCATTACTGATTTTTTCTCACGAAACTTTCTACTTACGCCTACGGATGTTTTCATGGTGTTTCCGAGTCCAATCCCTGGTTCTTCATAAGACCAACATCGTGGTATCGCTGTAAAGTGATTCCTAAAGATCGGATGTTAGTTATGCTGTGAGAGGTTTTGCTATCGTATTATCGAGTTTACCATAGGCGTGTTAGTATTATCTCCAAGGCATGCATTCCAGAACGCGTGGATCAGTAAAACCTCAAATCTAAGAGAACTAAACGGTACATTATCGGAAGATATTGTTGTGGGAGGCGCGAGTGCTTTTACTATAACAAAGCTATTGAACTGAATAGCTGGAAAAAGTTTTGTGAATCAAGTGGAAAATCAGTCGGAAAAAAAGAATCGTGGATGGAATATCCGAGGCCAGTATGAATCCGCGTCTAGGCGCGCATGGCATTTTTGTGAAAATGAAAAATTCCGAGTAATCTTAGTTATCTTTTTTTTCTCTCACTGGACTCTGAGGATGATTTCCGCTCAGGTTTTCGAAATGCATGTCACCAACAACGACAGTCTTTCTCAAGACTACACTTACTTGAACAGGACAATCAAACTTCACAACAATTCTTTAATATCATTTATATCAAAACGAGCAAATGTTGACCGACCATATGAAATAAAATATTTGTTCAAGATGCTCGGACTTCTACCGTCCTTTTCTCTTTCTTTTTTAAATATTATCTATAATTAACTTGGCCACGTATTGGTAGCGTGCATCCCTTCTCATGAGAATCATAAGACAAAAGACGTGGCGGCCAAGTTAATTGAATGACTTGACAAAAGACACCAATACCAAATCTTTTGTCAAAGTCAACCAAAATGACGTCATATACACCTCAAGAATTACAACCTTCAATGAGTACTGTGCAATACGAATTTTCGCAAAATGAAAATAAGTTTCAAGCTTTTAAAACTGAATTTTAAACTTTCATTAAATTCTGTGTGCTAAATCGCACGCATGCGCAGGTGGTTTCTCTGTTGCAACTTTCTCGAGTGCGTTCACGTGATTGCTGACGTAGCTTTCAGAACCAGACAACAGAAACCAAACTAGTCTCGGAACTATTTTTAGTTTCCTGGATGAATGATAAATCTCATAAAATCCCAAGATTTTGAGTATTAAATCTCATTTTTTCCTGTAGGCTGGAGTTTTTCGAGTACGATTCGCTTAAGTGACAAATTTGTGGTTCCCTTTTTTTTTATCCGTGGCTGGGAAATTTCTAGTATGGCTTAAAAAACCACGTTTATGAGGGGAAAAAGTAAAAAAACAAACAATTGAGATCTAAACGCTGAGGTTTTGCGGGATACTCCTACAGAGAAATAATAAAAATCCTGTCTAAGAAAAATAGAAATCACTTAGCAAATAGCATCAAATAGCATTATCGAAATAAAGTAAAAATCAGGTTAATTAGACATTTCCAATTTTATCGATTCATTGAAAGATTTTGTATTTTGAATCGAAAGGCTCTTTAGCTGTTTTTAGTTTTTGACTTTTATTTTATTGTAATAATAAATTTACGAGGCTTTTTATAACCTAGACACTTGAAAAGGAAGAGTTTGCTTCACAGCTACTGGGATGCCCCAATGCTCATCATTGGTTCCACCCTTTTCTTGCATGATGTTCTCTTTTTGGACAGAAAATCAAACTCAAAACCTGTAAATTGTGTACTCATATATAAAACGATCCGCGATGTGTTAATAGCTTCATATGAGATGCTCATTAGAAGAACTTCTTCAGAAAGATTTAAAATTATTTTTGTCTTGGTATTCTAACTCGTTACTCGCATCTTCATCACGAAATAGGGAACCAGAGGCAAATTAAGTATCACGTTTTTTTCTTCCAGCAAGCAGCAAACATGACCATGTTTTCATCGTTTCACTGCATTTCACTTTACCTTTTGCAAACCTTCTCATCAAAACGATTCATTTATATCTACATCAACTTGAAGATCTTTTCCGTCATTTTTTCTTAATTCTAACGTTAACTTTCTGAATATTTAGTCAAGGTTAGTTTCATACTTCATTTCGTTTCTTTCAATGCTTTCGAAGTCAATGAATACAAACTGAATGTTTTTGAAATAAAGATATTACTATGGTAAAAAAAGTTAAAAACTGATATACCGACATACAACAACACTATATACATGTTAAGTATGTTAAAAAACATGCTTAAATATTGTTAAACATGTTAAAAAACATGCTTAGACATTGTACCTTGGCAATACCAGCCTACAAGCAATATACCAACAAGCTAGAGATGTTAAAACATGTAAAAAAACATGAAATAAGATCMAGCTGAAAATTACAGTGCGAACCAAGGTCACCCAGACACATTTTCATATAGATTAGCCAATCACGATTGAGTATTCAAACAATACAATTGGCACAAATTGAATTTTCATTTCCCTTTAAACTAAGCGTATATTTTACTTTATACATGTGTGTGTATGATCAGGAGTGAACAAGAAACAATTTAAACTCCAGAATCCTGTTATTCAGTGTCGAAAATGCGATTTGTGAATTTGATTTAGAATTTGTTTGGTAGTCGGACTGTAATTACTAACCTTCGAAAGTAAGAACGATATTTCAGTGATTCATAGATCGATATTGATTCCCAAGATTTTTGGCCAAATTTTGTTTCAAAATTTCACTCGCTAAGCTTCGGTAAAGGCTAAAGTTTAAAGTGTAATGCACATTAAAGTCGTGAAAATTTATATCAAATATTCCCATTTGAAAGAATTCCAAGATACGCCTGGTTCAGCTCAGGTTGTCAGTGATCAATAGGTTCAGGTATAGCCTCACGATTTCTTGCTCAAACAAAATGGAATCAAATAGTTTTGCTTTCAGAATATTAGTCTTCTCTGACAGCTGGGTTTAGATATTTTAATTTATATCTGCGTGGTTGATAGAAAGATGTAATTAGTATCGACTGATTTCGGTCCAATAAAGTCAACAAACAGCTTTCACTCGATTTTGATGCACATGTTTTGTGGTTGAAAGTAAATTGTTTTTTGATCAGTGATCTCGTAACAATCTTGTCCTAACAGCAAATACCGCGACCAAATAATCAAAATAGTTATTTGTCTGAATTGAATAATGTCAAATTGATCTCGAATGCAATTTAGAAAATGCTTTCACAAATCCTCAAGGATGAAAACATACATTAAATATATTTAATGTCAGAAATTATGAGCTTAGGAGGAGAATAAATTCATGATTTCCACGTTCTTTAGTGCTTAATACACGCCTTGGAATTAAGCCAGGCTACCCCACGCGCATTGCCGCATCGTACAGCTGGGTGTAGCCACCAAGTTTCACTAATCTAGGAAATAATTGCCCTTCACAGTGGTTAAGCGTTATCTTTCCTCACCAATAGTCTAATTGGTTTCATTGCTGGACTAATGTAGCTTTGGCATATTACACGTCCTGCCCAAACATCTATAAAAGCATTTAGGTACTGAACTACAGGCACAGAGCAACCAGAAGAGTTACTGTTGAAGACAAGTCCTTATACTCTATAACTTTTTACTGCCTTAAAGGTAAGCTGATACGATTCTAATTTTCTACATGGTTTTGAAACAACTATCCCTTTTTCATACCCTTTTTTTTCTCGTAAAAGACTATTTCAAAAATTATCAGAAATGCAATCCAAAGTTTCACAAATATCTCCCTTGATTCTAAAAAGATTTTGAGATTTGTTTGGCCTGCTTCTCATTGAACCATTTTGCAGTGTAACGCGGCAGAACTAAAAAGAAAACATTTTGCAGTGCTATCAAAGGTCTAGTTTCAGTTAGTTTGATTTAAGGAACGTATTTGTTGTCTGAAAAGGGAGAGATTGTAGGATCTATTCATTCCAGAAATTATTTTTGTGATTTTCCCACATCCCACATGTACAATCTCTTGACATAGTTTACGTGTATGAAACAAAGACCAGTGTCAGTTTTTCGTTAAGGCTCAGTAGTGATTACATGTAAAGTTCCAGCGCTAAAGTCTATGCAAAGAAGATTATTTCTCTCTACTTTTTATGAAAAACGACGTTAAAATAACAGTGTATCGACAGTTAGTGGGAATTAAGTTCATCTGAAGGTGAGTCGGTTTTTTACTGAGATATTTAGACCCAAAAATTTGCTAAACTTGCTGTTCATTTAAAACATTTGAAAGGTAAACCTTTCATTTTGGCTTCGGTCAGTCCGTCATCTGGCAGCCAAAATATCAGCCTGCTAACCAGCATAAAAAATTAAGAATAAATTATTATCATTAAGATTATTGCCTGACAACAAAGAAACAGTTTATGAAAAATGTGATATTAAGTTTGAAAAGGTTCGTATAGAACACAAACCCACACGCAGCTCATCAATGGAATTTGCTTTGTTTTCACTGAACTCCAAAAGAGTATTGAAGTATTAACCGTCTAAGTCGTGTTTTAGCTACAAGTAGAAACAAATTGATGCCAAATAATCGAAGTTCGCATCTTCTTGAAACCGAATTCTGAGTGACGTTTTTCTCAACCTTCTAATTAATAATTACTCAGTGATTGCATTCATTAAGCTCTTCTATTTCACGGCAAGTTGTTAATAGTAGAGAGTTTTAGATTGACATTTTTTTCTCCCCGCAAACGGCAAACGTGACCACGTTTTCATCGTTTTCCTGTATTTTACTTTACCTTTTACGAACCTTCTCACCAAAGACAAATATTCTTTCGYTTTTCTACTACTTGGACTTTTTTGCGATTCTTTTTAAGATATCTAAAACATTTTTTTTTACTGGTCAACTGACGTTTCACGTTTGCCGTGAACGTAAATCTAAAACTCTCTAAGTTACTTTCTTTGTGTCTTCATTTATTTACTGAATTTGTTTTCAAATGAAACTTACTGCTGGAACCTTACGAGTAGAAAGAAAAAAGCACAGAAAGAAAAACGTGTTTACGAATTATTGAAAAAAAATCCAATACTTTTAGATGAGAATTGATCTTAATTCATTCACCAAAACAAGACTGGATTTCCTTGTTCATACTAGACAAAAACAATTGTATTTATAATATCAATAAACTTAAATTTAAATACATCAATTCATCGAAGAAGGATATTAATTTGCGTATCTATAATGGTTAAATTTCGGCTTACTTGTCTCATAATGAACCAATCAACACGTTTTTACCTTATTTGCCTGAAGGAGAGTTTTAACCAATCAGAACGCTAGAAATCCTTAGTCAAATTTGGCGGACACGTCTGCACTGCGCGTCCGGAAGAAAGAAGGCGGAAAGAAAGATGAAAGAAAAAAAGGCAAAAAAAAAAGTGAACTACTGTTTCATATGATTTGAAATAAAATAGAAAATAATATTAATTATAATTATACAAATAAAAGATAAATCCAGGAGGATTTATTTTGCTTTTTTTTCAATAGGACATATAAAAATAATATCCTATTAAAAATAAAGCTGTTATATCCTCATTTGAAGTCAAGCCTTCGTTGAGCGAAGCCGCTCTTATGCTTTTGGATCGTAATAGGAGGCGTTGAAAGCATGAAAAATGGGGAGGAACTTGAAACGTTCTCTGAGACAGGAAAAAGAAATCAGTCTAAGACTATAAATAAAATGTTTTTGAAGATGTTTTCGCCTACAGTGAAACGAATTCCTAACTCTATTAAAAACAAATTCAATTTCCCTTGACACTCGAGTTCTCTGATTATTGATATAGGAAAAAATGGCAATGATATTCTCAATGTTGACAAAATGGAAATCGAACAATTTACACTCGAGTTACAAATGTCAGAGTTATATTAAACATACAAGAAAAGTAATAGAATGTGCGAAACCTGTACATTCGTTAAATGTTGAGAAATCGAAATTGAACGGCAGTTGTTATACTTTCTTCGTTCCACAAGTTATTTAAATTATGCATTGGGTTTAGCCTTAGGTTTACCGAGTCTATGGCATGGCTCTTCATATACTTAGCGTGTGTTTAATACGACTGACTGCTTTTCTGTCACTGAAGCATTTCTTCTAACAGGTGTATCGTCTTTGAAGACTTGATATACAAGCACGTAGAAAATAAAATATTTAAGAAAAACTCGTTAAAATATCGTAATAATAAGTCTGACTATCCATAGCTATACTATCACTAGTTAGGGTAGCTCTTTCCTTCCTAAAATATTTATTTTTGAATACATAGAATATTTACTGAATCGCTTTCTGAAGTGAAAAAGTGGCTAATATTTAAGAGCAGGAAAACTCAGTTTCACTTAAAGACGTAATCTCGACTGACAAATATTTTACAGTCTAAAACGCAAAAAAAACCACATCGATTAGGAATTTTTTAAAACTCACTCTTGTCCACCTGTCCATTGATTAAAAATTCAGTTTGAAAAAATAAATTTTTAACTTTTTTTTTTAGAGTTTATGGAGTCATTTTATTACGTTTTTGGGAGGCTTTTTCACTCTTTTTAAGCTTGACAGCGTCTTTACCCGACTAAGGAGCCATCTCAAGACATAAAACCTCCCACTTAGTACCTAAAACACTAAAAGCCCCAAGCTACTGAAACCCGTATCATCTTAAAGCAAATAAAGATAGATACATTATATAGGATATCATTATCTGCAGTAAATATTGGGCTTTTTATGATTGCACAAAAACCAATATCAATTTAAATTTGAGTTTAAATCTTACTCTTGGAAAACGTTTCAAAAATGACTCGAAAAAATCTTACGTCCTAAAACTGAGCAAATTTGTACGCCTTTAAAGCAAGCAACTAAAAAAGGAAATAAATAGACAAAGCTACTTAATTTTATACATATTTCCGCCTATTAGTATAGGAAAAAGTATTTTTTACCAAAGAATTCAAATTTGCTTCTGATACAGACTTAGAAGCAGGTGACGAACACGAGATAAATGATCTTAAGCTGATTATTTCTGAACAAAAAGTTTATCAGTAAGCTCAGTGTGCCTAATACAAGCCAGATTTTATTCTCTCGCGATAAAACTGGCTAATTCCTACAAACAGAGAGATTTTTTTAGTAAACAACCAAAAATGTTCCAAAGGACAAAATTCAGACAGGTGCCGGACTCAAAGTCAGGTGTTTCTAATTGAGTGTTTATGAATTTTTCCAATTACAGAAATTTATTAATATTTGGGCGCCATTTTTCTACTTCTTTCGATTGATTTTAAGTTGTTAAAAAGAGGTCAAACATTGTTCAGCCTTACAGACACTTTTAAGCTTTAATTCCGGGAATAAACATGAGTAGTATAAGAGGGTAGAAGAAGAAAATGAGCCTTATTCAAATGAAAACGTTTTGACGTTTCTAAAGAGGAGTTAGTGATCTATGTTTAAGTCGCGATACAGCTGCAGGAGCTTTGATTTTCAGTTTTTGTGTGTGTTCATTGTAATAACAAGCTTGTTGACAGAATTTCATGCCAAAGCAATCCATTCAAGATCTCATATGAAGAATCAATCAGAACCAATTACATCGCACTTTGTGCTTGCGATAAAAACCACCCTCTTACAACCGCACAATCATATCCTTATCGTCTTGGCAGGTATAAAGCTCGGACGATTGAGCTTAGGGTTTTATTACCAATTAGATTTTTGATTGGATATTTGTTTGGTATGTGAAGTGCCCAATCCCGAGGATTGAGGTTAAAACGGCAAATGTAGAATTATTTGTTGATGACTTAGGTTCCTGTGTATTACGTAGTAAATGAAAATTAAATCAAAGGATTGAGAAGTTCTTAAAAGGGTACAGTCTAAGTATTACAGCCACATTGATTTAAACGTCACATAGATTGAAGGCTCACCTCTAGTCGCAAGACCATTTGCTCGTGCCAACCGAGAAAGGACAACCCATTCGATCTTGTACCAAGTTTTCTTCGCTCTTTTCATTACTGGACCAAGATATAAGGTGAAAAACAATCTTAGAATATTTTATTGGCTATAAGAAAATCCTATACATCTAATTTTTATTTTGAAAATTTTTAAAACCCTCCTAAGCCAAGGTCGATATCAGCTCCAAAATTTCTGATTGAGAACAACTCTTTAGAGGTTTCTAACCAACACTTCAAGTCGTATTAATTTCTCACTCAAATTTTTATCAAATTGGCTTCCATAGATACGTTTTTGGATTTTTTATTTCGCATTGCGCTGAAGTATGGACATAAATCCATGAAAAACGGATTCAACTATTCTCATAGCAGTTAGGGATTGACAACACTTTGAATTTTTTTAACCCTAAGCCAGTCCTAGTACCCTAAACATTTGTAAAAATACAGTTAAAATGTTGCTGTAAATTTTTGTTCTGGTTTGTTTTATGCCTGCCATGCATTGGAATTTTAAAACTCTTATCCGTCTTTTATTTTAGCCACATTCTGTTTTATCCGTTTTATTCTGCTCTTCACACTTCTATTCATAGTATAAGCTACCTCTGTATCTTTTAAGCTAAGATTTTTTAACGTTTTATGTTAAGGATACATTGTTCTTCTGAAAAAAAAAAGAAGATTATTTTGAAGAAATTCTGAAAATCCTGCTTCTCAAACACTATATCATTGTTGAGGTCTTTTGTTTTGCGTTAAAAAAAAAAAAAANAAAAAAAAGAAAAAAAAAAAGAAAGAAAAACAAAATTTACTGAGATACGTTCGATAACGAACCCTAACTCTATTTTTAGTTTATTTTGGCTAAAAGGGAAAAACATTAAATTTTTCAATGTGTTTTGCGCCTTTGTTGTTGTTATATAATTATTGCTTTTCATTCAGTTTTTCTCTTGGCGTAGTTTTGCGCAAAATTTCTTGCTATCCAGATCTACAAAGATAATATTTTGTACACACACACAAAATACATATGACTTATATTTATGTGTGTGTGTACTTTGTACTTTCCATTTCCAGTGACTTAAACTCGTTGGTTTTAGGACTTGATCAAAACCTGTCAAACGTATATATTTTTTGATTGTTTAGACATATATATTGAATCTTTCCTTGCACTTTGGGCAATCTTTTTGAAAATCTCCTGACTTGTGGATTTAACCATCAGATGTTTGATTCATCATTACAACTTTCCGCATATGTTATTCGTACTGAGTTCTGCTGCATAAAACATCCTCATGCCTGAATGTTATTTTAAACCTTGAATCTTTCTTTCTTTATCTTTCAGAGAGATGCTACCCTTTTTAGTTGTCACAGTTCTAGCCCTTCTCGCGCCACAGCTCACCAATGGCTCTCCATACAGTAGGATGCGCCGCTCCCTGGACGATCAACAATGTCCCCCTGGGGTGTGGGGATGTAAACGTTCTATTGATACTATAAATGAAGATCAACAATGCCCCCCAGGAGTTTGGGGTTGCAAGAAAAATACAATTGAGACCGAGGCCTCCAGCGATCAACAGTGTCCGCCAGGAGTCTGGGGATGTAAACGAAGTCTAACCAAATTCTTTAGACATATGTACAAAAAGAAGCATTCATCAGGCAGACGATCTCTCATAGACGACCAACAGTGTCCCCCGGGGGTCTGGGGATGCAAGAAAGACGCAATCGAGACTGAGGCCTCCAGCGATCAACAGTGTCCGCCAGGAGTCTGGGGATGTAAACGAAGTCTAACCAAAGATTCATCTGCAGTTAGAAGGAAACGATCTGTCGAAGACAAGCAAGATCAACAGTGTCCTCCTGGTGTTTGGGGATGCAAAAGAGACGTAATTGAGACCGAGGCCTCCAGCGACCAACAGTGTCCGCCAGGGGTTTGGGGTTGCAAGAAAGACACTATCAAGGCTTCTGACGATCAACAATGTCCACCAGGAGTCTGGGGCTGTAAGAAGGATAAAATTGAAATTGAGGCCTCCAGCGACCAACAGTGTCCTCCAGGAGTCTGGGGCTGCAAGAAGGACCGCATTGAGTCCAAGGCTTCCGACGATCAACAATGTCCACCAGGGGTCTGGGGCTGCAAGAAAAGAAGTGTTGTCTAACCGGAACTCAATCCTTTAGGTTCCTTGATAGGAAAGATGATAATAAAAATATTTAAAAATGAACTTGAAATAAAGAAAGAAACGACAAAATCCCGAAAATTTTTCTTCATGGTCACCCAAAAAGATGGTTTAAAAATTCCTTTAAAAATATATACAAAGATTATCAAGATTAGAAAAATCAACAAATTGTGAACGGAAGCTGGGATGTAATCAAATCATCAACACAGGGTCCCAAGTTTAAACATAACGCTGTCTTTACTCATCAGTTGTGATTGCCTCGTCATGTTGAAAACATGTAAGAATAGTTACAAAATGGTCCAAAATAAAATTAATTTGAAAGGAAATCATCTTGAATTGTCTATTTATTTATTCATTTTTTGGATTTAAACCAACCGGGACCATACTTCCAGACATCGAGTGCTGAACCGTCGTATGGCAGCTCGAAGCATTTACGGCTACGCCGGAGATTTCGWCCCCGACACCGCTATCCCTGGACTTACAGACTGATCAGGAAGCTCGGCCGAAGCTTAAGGGAGAGGTTAGTCGGCCCCTAGACCGTAGATGATTAACCCCTTGCTATGACCAGCATACCCAATGAGTAGAATAACATATGCGGTTCCAAATTATCTGATACCGATTGATAGCGACAGGAAGAACCGGATAGCTGTGAAGGTACTGAGGTTCCAAAACCTACAACACGGTTACGGAAGACAGTGTAGGACCGGGAGGTTTAGTAGACTAGCCACGTTGTAGATTCTTGTTGGGTATCTTGTGTAGACGATCTCTTTTCGTAAAACTAAAGAGAGATTAACAGCGTCTTCGAATACTTGACATATTTTTCGAAGTGTGCACTTAAGGTTGTTTTTAGTTTAGATTTTTTGTAATTTTGCGATGGCATAAGAATGCGTAAACAAATATTTTTCGTACCTGGAATAAAGACACGTAAAGGCAACAGATCGAAGATCGAACTAAAGCTGTATTTTATAAGTTTATTTCCTTCTCCTGCTTAATTTCTTAACTTTCCATGTTCAATTTACGCAGAAATGCTAAATATTTTCTCTTTCAAATGACGTCATGGCGGCCATATTGGATCGTGAGGATTGGAAAAAACTTTTAAAAAGCTTTAAAAATGTGCTTTTTACACATACGTTTTTAGTTATCCCAGCATTTATAGATATTTCTACTCGTTTATCGATAAATTGAGTGACAAAATACATAGTCAAAATTTGACATTGAACTTCAGTGAACTCGGAAGGAAGAAAGGAAGGAATTTTTAGTGGTGTTTGACAATTCTTGACGATAAAGATTGGCTTGTTTTCTTTGAAAGGTTGAAAGGAAGATAAAAATTCACTTAACACTCTACGTAGGTTCTTTTCGTGTTAAAAATTACAGACATTAAGGATAAAAAATTGTCGAAGAAAAAGAAAAATAAGATAAAAATAGTCAAAAAAGTTGCGAAAAAAAACTGCAAAGGGTGAACTAGGGTTGTGTTAGAATAAACTTCATTTCTCTCCTGGGAGCTAAATAGCTCTCATTTCAATCATCTTGTCAAGGTTTTTAACATCTCAAGAAGAGACATTTTGTTTTGGCTTTGATAAGAAAAACTTTTCCCAAACCATCAAAAGAATGTAAACTTTTCAAGCGAATGAGCGTTGTTTTGTAATACGTCTTTTAGTGGAAACCGTTAGTGGCCACAAACTGCGTCTCTCTCACAATCAATCATGAATCAATAAACTTTATTCAAAGAGGGCGACGTATTAACTCACAAGCCGGGATAATAGTGTTCTTTCCAGCAACATGTGTCTGCCCCAGAGTCTTCTCTTCTAATGGTCATGAGTTAGGAGGGGGACGCGGACAGACTAAACATAGAATAGAAAACAAAGATGTCAGCTATGACAGAAGTAGGCATAACAATGCCGGAGGCACAACATATTTTTTTCCGTGGGAAAATGAAATTTTTCTCATGTAAATTAGATTAGACCAGATTCTATCATTCCTTGTGCCTCCTGTCATGGCTGCCATCACGTGGTGGTGCGAAACCTCTATAAGAGTGTTATATTATTTGATTTACTGAAGCAGTAGGGTAACTCTTTTTGCTATAGTTACAAGGGCGGATCCATCCAAAATTTTAGGGAGGGGGGCTAAAGGTCAAAGGTTTTCCGCCACAGGCTACCATAGAGAGCCCTAGTAATAAAAAAATGAAACAGTAATGATGAAAAGGTAAATTATACACCGTGAAAAGATGAAAAAACTTACTGACGTTTCGGACGCTAGTCCTTCGTCTTTTACTCCGACGAAGGACTAGCGTCCGAAACGTCAKTAAGTTTTTTCATCTTTTCACGGTGTATAATTTACCTTTTCATCATTACTGTTTCATTAGAAACACCGACGCAGCTCACACTAGTTTTTAGCTAGTTATATCTTTTTAATTAAAAAATGGTGAATCGGGGCATGGCGCCCGATCCTGGACTGACTTTTTGCGAAAATGTTTTATTTCAACACAATTTGATGGTTTTGGTTTTCTATTCAAACACATATTTTGATATATGGAAACCTTCACAATAAAAAATTCTTCAGTTTTTTTCTGCTGAAGGGGGGAGGGCTTCAGCCCCCTTCCCCCCTGATCAGCTGTTAAGTGTTTTCAAAATAGCAAGTCATAATATAAAATTCAACTTTGCACTTGCCACTTCACGGGAAACTTTAGACCAAAGCTAAGCTTAAAAGAAACGACGCTTAAAACTAAGTGAACACAAGCCAGAGAGAGATACTTTCCAAACGTGTCCTATTCTCTTGTTAAGGTAGGCTAAATTATTTCTCTAGTGTTTGGAAATAATATCTTGCTCTTTAGAAAAGAGGGTTTTCGGAGTCAGTGCTATTTGATTCTATTATATATTTGAGCCCAGGTTGAGAGTTTTTAGACTTAATTTTTTCGAGAGACAAACATTGTCGACATTTTAAATGACCTCTTAGAATGAATCCATGTGTCCCTCAAAAAATTAGTGGAATGCGAAGAAGATTGCAAACACAGATGCTATTCAGTAATACTACGTCGATGACCTTTAAAATTAATCCTTGTGTCCCTCAAAAAATATTAGAATGCGAAGACGATTGCAAACATAAATGCAATTAATACTACGTCGATCAAGCAGAGCTAGTGATTCTCTTCTACCAAACCAGAGTCTTATAACGCCAGGTTGAGTTAGAATTTACAAGTTGGTTCATGCGGAGGGAGGAAAGCCAGAGACTCTGAGAGAAACCCTCGAAGCGCAAGAGAGAACACACAAGCAACTTTGCTCACACATGAAGGGTGTGGGGTCTAGGGATCGAACCATTTATCATTATTAATTATTATTATTATAGTTGTTAGTATTAATTATTATAAAATGGGCCAATAATTATTTTTAGGAATCATGTTTCGTACCTCCTCCATGCTACTTTTCCTCCTCTTCCTCGCTGTCATTGTCTTCGTGTCCGTGGCTCCGTTAGACAGTGAGGATTCTACCCCTCAACACGAAGCTCCGAAGAAAACAGACAAGCAGAACGGTGGCTGTCCCCCTGGTGTGTGGGTGTGTAGGAGAAGCAGCAGTGTGGTTTTCTTGACTAGAGAAAAGCGTGGTACTCATCCAATAAGAAATAAGCCAGTAAGTCAAATTGGTAGGAATTTCCAGAGTAAATMTATTTATCCCTCGATTCAATACGAGCCAAGTTTTCCAGGTTGGTTGATCAAGAAAGTGAAATCTATGGCGGAAAATTCGAAACTAGTAATACCAAGACATGAAGTGAGGATCTTAAAGGCTGAAAAACGGAAAAGAATCAAACGAGGGAAAAAATGCGGCTGTCCTGTTGGAATCTGGGGTTGCAAGCCAACAGCTTCAAGACCAAAACGAGTTACAAACCTGTCAGCTGGGACGAAGTAATCAGCATGCCATAGACGTGAACAGCTAGTTTTAATTATAAGCCCTAAAAATGATGTCACAAGACTTAGAAAACGTCAAAAAATCATACGTATTGAGAAATAGGAATGATTTTTTTCCGTATTATACGTCTGTATCGTATGTGATTGCGTAGTTCAAGCACTACAACGGAGTTGTTGCACAAGTGACGTCAGTGGCCGCCATATTGGATAGTTTTAACGCCAAGAGTTCTTGTTTGTTTCTGTTATGCGGTCACCTAACATGGCGGCTATGTCGTTTGTTTTTTCGTTCTTTATGAAAGTCTAGCTCTCAAAAAACCGCCAGTTCTAATTTTAAAGTGACCCGCAATTATTATAGGAAATCGAACGATCTCGAGTACGATTCGGAATTTGTAGGTACGAGTGATGTTTTGAAAGTTTTCAAAATTGGTCGAACCTTTAGGGGAATTCAATTTGAGGATTTTAAAAACATCGCGAGTATCTATAAATTCCGAATTGCACGAGAAGATTGTGCGATTTTTCGTTTATAATACACTCAAAAAATTTGAGCAAAAATTGGGAATCTACAGAGTACAATTTGGGATTTAATTGTACTCCTCTTGTCCAATCAGAATCGATTAATTTTGTGGAGTGTATTATAAATACAAAAAGAGAATGTAGTACTATACACTATTGTAGATCGAATCAAAATACACAATGATTGACTTCAGATATTATCGTTCGGTTGCTTTGTACGTACCAGGTGATCTCGCGCACGCACTACCGGTTACTATTAACCAATCAGAAGCATTTTTGTTGCATCGCCAAAAGTTCCATGATGAATTTCAAAATGGAGTTGTATTTCGAGTTAACCTTTTAAAATACGTCCTGAAATATAGCTTAACACTGAAAAATTCTATTTTACATGTACCAGAAAAGCTTTCTCTTGCCCTATCAGCAGTCAAAATTAATGAAAAACAAAGCATAAATGCAATAAAAGTAAGCGAAATTGGCGTTGTCTTGATAAGTCACCAGCCGCCATTTTGATTACCGTGAGATCAGTATTAATATTTTACCCACAAATAATTTACCAATAAAAATGATCAAAAACATCGAATTTGTCATGTAAAGTATTGTTTTAATTTCATTGTAAAGAGAATGAGCGACATAAATAATAATAATAATATTTTACACAAATAAAAAATTAAAAAAAAAAATTTCAAGGCATTGGGCTTGCAATTATTAACGTAAAGTTCTAAAGAGCATCATTTTATATCCAGTAGAAAGTATTGCCTCGAAAACATCAGGTTGAATCGAGTGAACGAAACGAATCAACGAATATGAAATGTCCCGCAATATAAAGCTTGGAAGTTAAGGATTCAAACTAAGTCTAGAATAAAATTCTACAGACAAATATCGATATTCTTGAAACATTTAGTTTTTTTCTTGACA